TGTGTGTGTGTGTGTGTGTGTGTGTGTCAACTCCTACTGGGAATCTGGAAACAGAGAGGCCTGGGAGTGGGGAAGACACTCCAGAACTGGAGAAGCAGGTCCTTCCTTCAAAGCCAGACGGTCCCGGGGTCTGTCGGCGTCCCCTCCACCCTCAGGGAAGCCTGTCCCTGGACTCAGCTCTGCCTTCCCTGCAGGATCTGGGGCAGCAGATCCAGCGGAAGCAGCGGGCTCTGGAGCAGGAAGGCTTGGAGGTGGCCCGGGGGCTGCTGGCCGGGCAGCAGGCCCCACCTGCCCAAGAGTGGGGCAAGCTCTTCCAGACCTTCGTGGGGAGAGAGAGCCGGATGTATGCCTGAGCACCGCAGCCCCTCCGGCCGGAACTTGGACAGTGCGCTCGCTCGGGCCCAGCCTGACCCGTCCTTCACGCCCCAGCGGCCAGCTCAGCCTTCGCCCTAATAAAAGTATTTCATTTCTCTGTTCTCTAAACTCAATCCCAGGTCCAAAGGGTGGCCCTGAGCTGGCAGCTGGGCCCTGGGTGGCCTTGCTGGGCAGCTCATTTTATGGCTCAGGGGCGGGTGACTGGGTGGCGAGACAAGAGGGGTGGTGAGGAGAGGCGAGGGCCTCCTGTAGCAAGCCTGATGGGCAAGTGCGGGTCAGCTCAGGCCTGAGCCCAGCTGTTGGCAGTGAACTGGAACACTAGACCCTGGTTCTTGGCCTGGAGCTGGGGATGGCATGGGCAGCGAGTGGCAATGAGGTCTACAGGAAGCCAAGTGGGGGGCCTGAGACACTGTGCCCGAAAGATGGGAAACATGGCCTTTGGGGCTTTATGTTTTCTGTGGCTAGGAGCCCTGGTGGTGTGGAGTTACACGCTGGGCTGCCACCTGCAAGGTCAGCAGTTCGAAACCACCAGCCACTTCTTGGGAAAAGATGGGGCTTTCTAATCCCTGGAACAGCTATAGTGTTGGAGACTCAGAGGGGTGGGTTCTACCTGTCCCGTAGGGTCGTTTTGAGTTGGTATCGACTTGATGGTGGTAAGTTTTTTGGAGTGTCCCGGTGCCACCACTGAGTGTGTCCTCTGAGATGCTCCAGTGACAGGAGAGTCATCCTTTAAGCCCAGAGACACTTTATTAGGGGATGGGCCCCTGCCCCAGGTGAGGGGTCTAAGAGCAAGGGCAGGGGGGTGGGGGTGGCATTAGCTCCTCCCTGTTCTAGTGGCCACAGTTTATTTCTTGATTTTCTGGGTCTTGCTTTTGCTTGTGCTGGGGGCTCCAGGAAGAGAAGCCTTGGGTGCTGTGGCCCCCCTGGCTCCTGGCCGTGCCTGGGCAGCACCTTGCTGGCCCTGGGCGGTCCGGGTGTAAGGCTTGGTAGCAGTGTGTGTCTGTGGTGATGAGGTGGTCTCCGTGGGTGTCTTCTTCCCTTGTCCGGGAGGGTCAGGGGGGCTGCTGTCCCCGGCGGCCATGGGCTCCTCGGGCAGTGGGGGCAGGTCTGTGAGGACCAGCTGGGCCTCCATCCTCTGGCAGTGCTCCATCAGGGCCGCCTGCTGCCTGCGCTCCCGGTGCCTGCTCAGCTCCTGCTCCAGGCCCTTGAGGAAGCCTGAGGAGGGTGGGGTGGGGGGAGGGACAGGTGGTAGGTGGGCCCCAGCTCATAGAGAAAGTTCTTGGGGGACCCCTGAGAAACCTGTCCCCAGTGGATATCACCCGGGTCACCGGCATGGCCAGGATGAATTCCTGCCCAGCGGCACTGCCCGTGACCACCTCTGACCAGATGCTGATCTGTCCTTGGGGCTACTGTCTTAGCTTCTCGCTACCCCCTGCCCGCAGTCCCCAGGGGAGGGGTGGGGTGGGCTGCCACAGGCTGTCAGGGGACAGGCACCTCGCTCTGAGCAGAAGGGGCCACTCAGCTCCGGGTACTCGTCGTCGTCGTCGTCCTCACCACCCGAGGCGCCAGCACCCTCTTCGTCGGAGACCCAGCGCTCCTGCACAGGCTGCTGGTCCAGGTCCAGGAGCAGCGGCAGGCCTCTTATCACCAGCTTCCTGCAGGGCAGGAGAGGAGCGGCCATCTGGGAGGGCCCCTGGGGCAGGGGGAAGACAGAGCCCTCCCCTTTCCTGGGCCCCACAACCCTAGGAGGGGTAGCTCACAAGAGGCAGGCCCCTGTGGAATTTGGGGATGGGGAGGAACAGGAATGGGGAGCTGGCGTGGGGGGAGGAGAAGGTGCCTCTCCAGTGAGTGGCCCCAGGTTTGCAGCTGGATGGGGCATGCAGGGGGAGCTCAGCATCACGTCTCTGGAGGGGAGCCCCCGCCCCATCCCACTGCCACCTCCTGACCTGTAGTCTTTCTGCTTGGTGCAACCATTTCCGGTCAGGTTGAGGATGAGGAGGCTCAGGGGGAACTCATCTGCACATACCAGAGGGGGGCACTGAGGGGTCACAGCCCTGGAGAATGAAGTGAGGGGAGGGGGGTACAGGTATTGCGGCAGAGAGGAGGGAGGGCCCCAGGGGGGCTGGCTCCTGAGTTCCTACCCAGCTTCAGCGTCTCTATCAGGTTGTCAGAGAGGTCCAGAAACTGGAGGTGTGGGAGGACAAGGAGGTTTTCCACCTGTTTGATGCGGTTCCCTGCCAGAGACAGGAAGCTGGAGGGGGAAGAGAGTGGGCAGAGACTGAGCTGACTAGCCCAGCAGCTGAGTGGGTGGGGGTAGGGGCAGAAGGGGTCCCCTGGCGAGGGAGCAGATGACCAGTGGGCACACATGGCTTTCTAGGGTGAGGCCGGCTTGCTGGCCCTGCACTGGCAAGGAGCCAGGCCTGGTGAGGTCCCGGCCAGTGCCTTGGTCATGGTTTTGGCTTTGGCTGGGTTCCTCGCCCCCTACCCCTGCCCTGCATACCGCAACGAGGGGATGCAGGCCAGGTTCTCAATTCGCTGGATCTTGTTCTGCAGGAAGAAACCAAGGTGGTGAACCATGCTGGGGAGGGGGCGTGGGGGTGGCAGGGGGGAGAGGACAGGCCAGAGGCCATGTCTCTCCGTCCTTGCAGCTGAAGATACAGTACTTTGTGAATGATCCCCCTACTCCGTGAAATGCTTGTCGCTCACTCTCTCAGGGTGATTCAGGTGGCTGGTTCCAGGTAGGAGGAGCCCCTGGTGGCCTAGTGGGTTACATGTTGGTCTGATAACCGTGAGGTCAGCTGTTCGAATCCACCAGCCACTCTTCAGGAGTCAGATGAGACCTTTTGCGACCGTAAGGATTGGCAACCTCCAAAACAAAGAGTCCTACCTTGCCCTCTGGGCTGGCTGGCATTGAGTTTGGAGTTAAGGGTATACACTTAGGTTGGCTATAGCCCGTGGAAGCATGCTAGCCTCCTGCCTCCCCCACCGAGGAATCGGAGAAGGAAGCCAAGTGACCACAGGGAAGTGGACATGGCCTTGGTGCCCTGCAGACAGGGAGGGAACTAAACCAACAAGCCACACCCAGTGCCATCCAGTCGATGCCAACTCATAGGGAGCGACCCATCGGGGGAGGGCAGAACTGCCCCAGTGGGTTTCTGACACTGTTACTTTTACAGGAGTGGAAAGCTCCATCTTTCTCCCGTGGAGCAGCGGGTGGTTTCGAACTGTGACCTTGCAGTTAGCAACCCAGTGTGTACGCACTCCACCTCCAGGGCTCCAAGAGAGGGAACAAACAGTTATCTTCATTTGGTCTTTCGCGTGATGACCAGTTAAGAGAGCCGGGTATACTCAGCCAGGAGAAAGCTGAAAAGCCACTAACCAGTGAAACAACAAACAGCCTCCGTGATTCTGGAAAGTACAGAAGAGCCTCCTTCTTATTCTTCTTCAAATAGGAAGCGGGCTTGGGCTATGTAACGTGGGCGATTCAGGGTAGACAAGAGAAAGCTATCCAGAACAAGACAGGTGCACGATGCAGGAAGACTGGTGCTCGAGTCTGTTCATGGTTTCTTTGGGGCCAGGGGATTGGGATCATCAATCTTTCCATCCAGATAGAATTCTGGATTCAGCTGAGGGCTGTTAAAATGAAAGTCAGCTAGCCTGGATACCAGGGAACGGGACAGGGCAGTTGGGCTGGTGCCTTTCAGAGTCCCCATGACTATGGAGAGGATTCAGACTCCAGGGGACTCTACAGGGCAGAATGGAACAACTCCTTTGGGTTTCCAAGGCTGTAAACCCTTCAGGGAGCAGAACGCTTCTTCTTTCTCCCTTGGAGAAGACTCGAACTACTGACCTTGCTGTCAGCAGCCCAATGTGTAAGATATTAGGCCATCAGGTTCCTCCTTTCAGATTGTCACTTATTTTTTTGTCTCTCTTTCGGGCGCATGTTCACTGCCATCAAATCAGTTCCACTCCTAGTGATCCTGTAGGATAACATGGAACTATCCCTGCGTGTTTCTAAGGCTGGGAATTTTTACAAAAGCAGCATGCCTCACCTGCCTCCTTGGAGAAGCTGGTGGGTTTGAACTGCTGACCTTGACCACCCAACACATAGCCCACTTAACTACTCTTGTCCCAGGAGCTTCTTCCTTTCAGATTCCCAGAACCAAGCTCAACTCATAGGGACCCCACAGGACAAGGCAGAACTGGACTTGTGGGTTTCTGAGATGGGAGTAGAAAGCCTCCTCGTCCTTCCACGGAGTGGCTGGTGGTTTAGAACTGCTGAGCTTGTGGTTTGCAGTCCTGTGCACAACCCCTGGCGCCTCTCCTTTCAGATTCAACCAAGTTCCTGGTGTGAGTGAGGTAGAGGGAAGGGAGAACAGAGGCAAGAAGTTACCGACTGCAGGTAGAGGCTGTGAATACTCCGGAGGCTCTCTAAGTTTCTGATAAAGGTAATCCTCTCCCGGTCCAGGCGTACTGTCTGCAGCTCAGCGAGGGTGTGAAACCTGGGGGTGGGGGTGTGTGGGGTGTCACTGAAGACCATATCTGTGGCCTCTTGGAGAAGGTGGGAAGGGAGAGGAAGGACACTGTTTTAAGGAGGGTTAGATGGTTGAGTGATTTTTTTAAGTGATAAAAATACCGGTAACAAAAGCATTTGCTATTTCAACAGTCTTCAGTATTACCTGCCAGACATGTTTAGCCAGCACCTTTAGCTCCTATGTCTCCCCATCCCTCTTAGCAGCAGCTCAAGTGTCCCCTAAGTGGTTGGGTGATTTGGATCAGCTGGATGTGCAGAGTAAGGGAAGGGGGAGCCAGAGCCGAGTGGACACATTAAGAGGGCCACCCTGGACAGTTCAGTCTGCAGGCGGCGTCCTCCGCCCGCGGCCGGCTCTAGCACTCACATCTTCTCTGACAGGTCATCATCCTCAGGGAAGGTCAAGTTGCGCTTAGTGATGAGGGCTTCGGTGACGCACAGACCTTTTTCCTCCGCACCCACGGCAAGCTTAGCTGTCAGGAGGAGAAACCAATCGCTCCAGTTCCTAGAGGCCAACCCCCAGCGGTTATCCCACCATCCGAGCTGCTAGGCCAGCGCCCTAACTCACTTTCAGGCATGGTCCAAGAGGCTGCGGGCCTGGGAAAGGCGAAGGGGCGGCCGCGCAGCTTGGACAGCCGGAGGGCTGGGGGAGCCCAAGGTGTTCCGCGCAGAACCTCGGGGAGCCAGGGGAAGGGTTGGCTTCAGAGTAACCGTTGGGGTGGGGTAGAACCGAGAGCAAACCGAGGGTTAGGGGTGAGGCTTGCGGAGGGAGGGGGGACGGGTTTCGTTGCCAGTCTTGCGATCCGCGAGCGACGGGAGTAGACCCCCGGGGAGGAACGGTCCTTCCCGGCGGGTTGGCGCCGTTGCTAGGAGACCGGACGCCGGGCGGCCGGGGAAGGCCCGCCCAGCGGGGGGCGGGCGCGGCGCATGCGGGTTACCGCCCCGGCCTGTGGACCCGCCCACCGCTTCCGGCCCTGGGTTCGCTGCCCCACAATCCTTAGCTCCTTCCGCCCTCTCGCTTTCCGTCGTCCCCCCGGCGGCCATGGCTGCGCCCGTGGTCGGGCTGCTGCGAGGGCGTCTCCTGCCCCCAGCGGGTAAGGAGCTGCCCACCGCCTCCCGGCACGATCCGGCCGCCGCGCCCTCGCCCTGGCCCCGAGCTTCTGTCTGTCTGTCTGTCTGTCTCAGTCCGAGGGCCCCCGGCCACCCCTGATTCTTGCCGGTGACTCCAGGAACAGCGGCAGTATTTGTGTTTTACCCCCCAGACTCCCACCCTTCTTGGTGTCTAGCCCACCCAGCCCTTGCCCATCCCCGGCATTTCCCATGTTCGGACCCCAGCCTCTCCCTGGACCTTAATGAAACCCCTGAGACCCGGAACCCCACCGGCTGCCGGGTTTTTGCCGGCGCTCGCAGGTGTGACAGGATGCGGTCCTACCTGCTTTTCTGTCACTCCTTGTAATGCATCGTATTTGCGTTTTCCTTCTCTGACAGGTTCCCGCCTTCCACCTGTCCGGGTTCCAGCTCACAGGGTTTACTGTACTGCCTTTTTATGAAGGTCTCTCCACCCCCGCCCAGCTTCTGTAAGGCAGGTGCCTCCTGTTCTTCACTCACTTGCGTCCTGTTTGTTAACCTCCGTTGGTTGCCCCTCTTGCAGCCCATCACTTTGCATTTGTTTTCTTCTCTCCTCTTAAGACTGTAAACTCCAAGAGGGCAGCATCATGCTCATTGAGCATAACCGGCAGATGGCGTGGTGTCTGGCATTAGTAGGCCCGCAGGGATACTTGCTGGCTGAATGAACCTAAGATGGGCCGAGCACTGAGAGACATGCTTTCCATTCTCTCACTGAAATTTTAGAGCACCTTAAGAGGAAGGCATGATTCTCTCTCTACAGATGAGGAAACCGAGGTTCAGGGTAGTTGAATGACTGGCCAAGATACAGCTAGGAAGTGGCAGAAAAGAGGCTTGAACTCGAGTCTCATCTGACTCTAGAGGCCAGGCTGTTAAAAGTTTTGTCAATGGCCCTTGGCAGAAAAGCCCCTTAATCCCTGCCAATCTCCATGGTCTCTGTGTGTGCGTGTGTGTGTGTTAGATGCATCTTGTAGCAGAACCTTTTCCTGAGATCCCAGCCCAACCCTGGGAAGGCCTGGGAGTGGAACTTGTTAGCCTAGGCTCGTGTGTCAAGGATGAAGACATCAGGGGGGCCAATATCTCATTTGTCTTCTGCAGCGTGCTCGCTAACTCGTACTGTGGACAAGAAGGAAAGGGCAGGGAGACTTGTTTGGAGGAGCCAGCGGGTGACGGAACGCTTCTCGTGCCTTGCTCAGGTCACAGGGGAAGGCTTCAGAGCAGCGCATTGGGCAGTGGTTTTCAAGCTTTAGCGCGCACAGCATCACCTGGCAGCCTCCTGAAAACACTGTTTCCCAGGCCCCACTTCCTAGTTTGTGATTCAGTAGGTCTGCTCCCTGGACATGCAGGGACTGCTGCTCCGGGGACCACACTATGAGAACCAGTGGCTTAGACCACAGGTTGCCAGACGGTAGCAGGGCCAACCACCTGTTTTGCTGATAAAGTTTTATTGGAACACAGCACACGGTCCCTGGCAGCTCTGGTGAGACAGCAGCCGAGCCGGGCAGCAGCAGCAGTAGAAACCACGCAGCCCTCACACTGGAAAACATACATACTCTCGGGCCATTTCAGGAACAAGCTGGCCCTCCTTCATTTTAAAACACGGTCCAAAGGATCTCTCCTTTGTCCCCGGGAGCTCCACCCCATAAGGAAGAGCTGCAGCCATTGGGGGGCAGATGGGTCTTTCAAGGACCATGTGACAGGCCTGGAAGAGAAAGGGGAAGTCAGGATTCCTGGCAGGAGATGTCTTGATTCCCTCTGTGCCGAGTCCAGTGCTTTGAGCCTTGGTTGTCTCTGCCGAGAGCATCGATGGCCCACTAGGGCCTCTGAGAGGCTGCACCTCCTCCACGTGGCCCTCTTCTCTCCCAGGCAGGCTGCCCACCCTCCAGGCTGTCCGCCATGGCTCCAAGGCCGTGACCCGCCACCGTCGTGTGATGCACTTTGAGCGGCAGAAGTTGATGGCTGTGACAGAGTATATACCTCCCAAGCCTGCCGTCAACCCAAGATGCCTGCCACCTCCTCCCAGCCCGCCCCAGGAGGTAAGGGGAGAGTGGGCATACACCTGGTGGCAGGGTGGTGGCTTCGAGTGATCTGATGAAGTAGGGCTGTAGGCCATAGTCACTGGGATCATGCCTCCCTGTCCCCATTCTCTGGTCTGATTACCTTCAAATCACATCTGAGGGTGAGTTTGTATCGGCCTCTAGGCTCTTGGTCAAAGTCCTGTCGAAATTGCTTACTGAATGCTTGTCTCCACAGAAGTATGTCTGAAAGCTACTGTGTTGGTCTGGGTTGACTAGAGAAACAAATTCATAGATACTCATGTGTGTAAGAGCGAGCTTTAAGCTGCCCTGCTTGACTGCCTGGTGCAGGGTGAAAGGTACCTGGGCAGGCGTGGCTGGCGCAGCCAGAGCTGGGCGTTGGGCATGTGGAGAACACCCACTCGATCCTTTTGTGTACCCAGACCTCCCTCTGTCCCAGTCACGCCCTCCGCCCCTGTAGACCCCCCACCAGAAATTCTCCCTTGGCACAGTGCCTTACAGAAGAGGTGGTCTCGGGGTTTGAACTGATCCCACTACCTCGAAGGACGCCTCTCTTCCCTCTCCTGTGGGCTCCACTACCTCTTCCCACTTCATCCCAGCAGGAAGTGAAGCCGCCCCTGGGCTCCCCCTCCCTCCCCTCCCTCTCCCCAACTCCCCTCACTTGCACTGTATATATCTTGTTTGTTGGCGATAAATTATTATTTTTTGTTAAAAACTTTATATAAAGAGTAATTGTATATTAAGAAAATATCCCAGCCCAGTCCAGATCAAGTCCGTATGTCCAATTTTAGCCCATATGCCTGATACTAGTCTATAAATTCCTCTTCAGACTCAGGCAACACATGCAATGATGCTCAATGCAGGAAGACTAGTGGGTGGCAAGTCTCATGGATCCAGTGGAGGTGGAAGCATCTATTGGCTTGGGTCTCCCCGTGGCTCCTCCAGCTCCAGGGCTCTGGCTCCATCAGCATAGCTCCATGTGGCTTATGAGCAGGAAGATGACGCAGAGAGAATGTGTGTCCCACCTCCAGGGAAGAGGACTGGAGTTCTCAGAATCCTCAGGAGAAGACTGTGCCCACACAGAGGCTTCATTAGCTCTACTGGATTGACAGGGTAGACTCCACCCCTTCCTCAAGTTGACAGCAGGTTTATGTAACTGTCAGAGCTACCCAAGTCAGTGGGGATAGGACAGAGGATCTCTTTTGTCCGAAAAGACACTGAAGCATCCACATTTTTGTGGAGGGGTGGAGCAGGGCAATAGAGCTTTTTTCTGCCCTTAAAAAAAAAAAAAAAAGCATGGAAAGACCAGGGGAAGATTTTTAACTTTGTTACTGTGCACAGACTTGATCTTGATCGCAGTGAGCTGAGTGTGGTGCTGCCAGACCTCCCTGACCGAGGCTGGAATGTGGATTGAGAGCCAAAGTTAGATCCCTAGGGGAGTGCTGACAGAAGTCACTGGGCAGAGATTCCTCCAGGACTATGGCCCGACAACCCCCACCCATCTGGACTTTGTTCTGAAGGCAAAGAACTGGCTTAAAGGAGCCCTGAAGGGGGCAGCCTGCCAAGCAGGATCTGGCAAATTCTATTACTTCAGGGGCTGGGGCTCTTGCAGCAAGACTTCCATATGCCCACCTGGAATTGATTAACAGCATCGCCCACTAACCATCCCCTCCCTCCCCTCTCCGCTAACTCAGGTAAAGGTACAGTCATTAGACAGAATTTTCCCACTAAGTTTTCCTCAAGGCAAGGGTGCCTGCTTCCTTGTAACTGTGCAGTCACCTGGACCTGTGCCATCCCATATACCAGCGTTCTGGGGGTGACAGGCAGGCTGTATGCCTGCACTGCCCAGTGTGGCTGTATGTCTGCACTGCCCAGATGCATGTGGCTGCCGAGCACTTGGTATGAGACTTGCAGCACCGAGGAACTAAGTTTCGATTGTGTGCAATTTTAACCAAAGGTAAGTGGCCCCTGGACCGGAGAGAGGACACCCAGAGCCTAGAGTCAGCACAGGATGAGCCTTCTTATCTTATTGTGCATACTCATATTTTCATGAAGTTCTGTGATGGTCACCATGACGCCCAGGTACTCCGCTGCCCCAGTGGATTTCAGGGTCATTACTCTGGGAAGAAAATCTCTTTGTAAACATTGTTTCCAGAGCCCTGCTGGCATATTTGGTTATGCGGCGACGACGACGGGCTGCTAACTGCAAGGCCAGCAATTCAAAACCACCAGCCACTCTTTGGGAGAAAGATGGGCTTCGATTACCGTGAAGAGTTACAGTCTTGAAGAGAGAAAAGACGACCGATGCCCAGTGCCTGCATGAGCCAAAACGTGAATCTCTTGGGAAGCAGAGGAAGTTGGCATTTTCACATTTGACCATTAAAAATAAATTGCAACACGTTTGTGTCAGTCTGGGTTGACTAGAGAAACAAATCCAGACATTCATATATGTGTAAGAGAGAACTTTATATCAAGAAGCAATTGTGCATCAATAAAACATCCCAGTCCAGTCCAGATCAAATCCATGATTCAATATTAGTCATAAGTCCGATACTAGCCCATGACTTCTTCTTGAGACTCACGCAGCACATGCAGGAAGATCACCTGCCAGTGGTGGATCCAGTGGTAGAAGCATCTCAGGCCTGGTGCTGGTCTCCACGGGCTCCTCCAGCTCCAGGGCTCTGGCCGGGATCAGCATGGCTCCATGTGTCTTGCCAGCAGGAAGTCGAAGCAGAGAGAATGTGTGTCCCACCTCCAGGGAGGAAGACAGGAGTTCCCAGAATCCTCAGGAGAAGGCCATGCCCACACAGAGGCATGATTGGCTATGATCTGATCGACAGGCTAGATTCCACGCCGTTGCTCAAGTTGACAGATGATGTAACTGTCACAACGTTCTTTAGGCAGATGATTCTTTTACTCAGAACTATTTCTCCATCTTAAAAAAAAAAAAAAAAAGCTACAGTCTTGGAACCTGGCAGGGGCCGTTCTACCCTGTCCTGTCGGGTGGCTGTGGGTTGGCATCAACTCCATGGCACCGAGTGTGAGTTCCGTGTCAAGCTCTGTGACTATAGTCTTGAATGCACAGGTGCTCAACTTAGACTTTGTCTTAAAAAGTAAATAAATCAATAAAGTCCTGTTCTGTGAAAATGGCCCTGCTTCAAGTGGTCGGGGTGGCAGGGCTGTCTGGTCTTTCTAGTTGGTAGAAGAATCCCACCTGGGTGCAGTGCCAGAGGGTGAAGTCATGCTGGCAATACCATCATCCTGTAGCGTTGGCTGGCCAGACCCTGACCTGGCCTGGGGACTTCGCGTTCTCCGGATTGTTACTCTCTGCCCTAAAGAGTGGGTCTTCAGATGAAAGAGAAAAGGTGGGGGGCGGGGGTAGGACAGTCTCGGGGTCCCTGGCGGACATTGGGCATCACTGGGCACCTGGTGCATAGGGAGTAAGGGGTGAAGGAGGACAGGCAGCTCATGCCCGTGGGCCATCCCTTTCTGATTCTAGGAGTCGGGCCTCATCCAGCTCCTCCGTCGGGAGATAGCAGCTGTTTTCCAAGACAACCGAATGATCGCCGTCTGCCAGAACGTGGCTCTGAGCGCAGAGGACAAGCTCCTGTTCCGCCACCGGCTTCGGAAACATGGCATTGTGATGAAGATCTTCCCCAACCAGGTAGGCGCTCTGGCTGGGCTGGCCTCGCTCTCCGCAGCCCCCGCCCAGCGTCAGGGAGGGGCCACTTCTGATTCCTCTACACGCTGTTGCTGGCTTTGCTACCTACACTGCAGAGGGAGAGCCAGCAGACCTTGGCACCTGACCTCTCACCTGATGTCTCCCTGCTGTCCCAGGTCCTGAAGCCCTTCCTGGAAGATTCCAAGTACCAAAATCTGATGCCCCTGTTCGTGGGGCACAACCTGCTGCTGGTCAGTGCAGAGCCCAAGGTCAAGGAGATGATTCGCGTCCTGAAGAGTGTGCCTTACCTGCCGCTGCTAGGTGAGGGGGTGGTGAGTCCACCTGGCTGGGGCCAGGGGACTGAGGCTGAAGAGAGCCATCTGGACCATCTGTTGGGCGTGTCTCACCCACAGGGGCCTGACCCAGCAGCTGTACCTTCGACCCCGGTGGTCTCACCACCCAGGTCCCCTGGGTACTGGAGGAGAGCCATGGGGAGGCGGGAGGAAGTTGCCCCAGGATCTGCCAGGAGAGCATGGCTAATACTGGTGGGAACGGGTGTGGAGAGCCGCGCAGGTGAAGATAATTAAAACCGAGAGCCCAAACAGACCGCTGAGATGGTGAGCCATGGTCCCTGGTTCCCTGGGGCAGGCTTCCTGGAAGTGCTGGTTCTCTCCACGTTTAAACCCTGGCCTTGGGAACTGACGGTGGGGTCATAAACTTTTGGCAAAAGGTTTCTGAACATGCAAGGACCAAAATAGAATTCAAAATCAAATGTGCATTGAAGCCGAGGTGTTTCTGGCAGCTCGCTTGCCCGCGTTGCAAACTTCTCAGGCCAAAAGGGGCCTCGAGTGGGGGACAAGTGTAAGTAAAGAAGCCTTGTGAGTCGGGCAATGCTGGGCATCTCCGTTGGAAATTCAAATGTCATAGGAATCAGTATAATAAGCCCCTCCCCTCAAGCCATGCTTCTGCATGAAAGTTTGGGAAGCCCTGACCTCATGGGACTCGGGGTCCAGGGGGCCCAGTAGAGTGTGCTATGCAAAGGTTTTCAGAAGGGAAAAGTAGGGGAGGGTGTGCAGTATGCCCAGGAAGGTAGGCGGTGGAGAGGGGCAAGGGAGAGCAAAGCCGGAGGCCTGGCACCTCATGGTCAAGCCAGGAAGGCAATTGTAGGGAGCCCCGCTGACCCAGATCCGGCTTCTTCCAGGTGGCTGCATTGACGACACCATCCTCAGCAGGCAGGGCTTCATCAACTACTCTAAGCTTCCCAGCCTGGCCGTGGTGCGAGGAGAGCTGGTCGGAGGACTCGCCCTGCTCGTGGCCCAGACCCACTCCCTGCTCCAGCAGCAGCCCTGGCAGCTGACCGCCCTCCTAGAGCAGTACGTCAGGCAGCAACGCGAAGGGCACGCTGAGGAGCCTGCGCCAGCCAGTGGGATGCCCCCACCGCCTCCAGAGCCTGCTCCTCCCTCCTAGCCTGTCCCCGCCCAGAAATACACTCACTCGCTTGGCTGTGTCGTCCTTCGTCAGAGATGTGGGAGCATTTGGGGTGGGGAGGGCACCCGTCACCTGGCATCCACGGACACCAACAGAGCTGTCCTTGGGTTTCCCTTTTGGGGACGGATAGGTGCAAAGCCCTCTCAGCTCTCCAGGTCCACAGCAGAGAAGCTGAGAAGGACCCTGCCCTCTACCTCCTTGTCACTGTTCCTAGCTGCCCACCCGCCCCCACTGCAGCCCGTCCTCCCACAGACACGACAGCTCGCTTGAGGAATCGGGGTAACGGTGGCACCTGTTGAGAGTCCTGCGTGTGTCTGGCACTGCTCTGCACACCTGGTATGTGGGTGTCTTTGTTCCTCGCCAGCTTGCCCCATTTTACAGGAGAAGATAAAGGGCCAGAGAAGTCAGACACTGTGTCCACGGCCAGGCAGTTAGGGACACAACAGGCACTTGAAGCAGGGTCTCTGTTCCTGAAGACCACGCCCTGAATTCCTCCACTACTCTGGGCCCTGGCATGCTCTGAGGTTGGCTCTCCACCTGGGAGAAGGTGGGATGCACTGGCTTCCGAGGGCAGGCCTTTCACTTCCTGTTTTCTTGTTTGAACGGTCATCCTCCGTATAGTTAGCCTCAAGGTGACCTCTCAATTCTGACTTCCCCCCCAAAGCTTCCCTCTTCCCGTTACTCAAACCTGTTAGCTCACTGTGCCTCCTCGTGCGCAGAGCACCGTGCAGCAAGTCAGTGCTGTCTGCGTGTCCAGTTCCGTGGGTGTGACTGCAGTCCTCCACGTTGCACAGCCCCATTTCGGCCTCCTTTTCTGAGTTGCTTCTCTCTCTCTTTTTTAAATCATTTTATTAGGGGCTCATACAACTCTTATCACAATCCGTACCTACATCAGTTGTGTCAAGCATTTGTACATTCATTGCCCTCATCATTCTCAAAACATTTGCTTTCCACTTAAGCCCCTGGCATCAGCTTCTCATTTTCCCCCTCCCACTCCTCCCTCATGAACCCTTGATAATTTATAAATTATTATTTTGTCATATCTTGCACCGTCCGACGTCTCCCTTCGCCCACTTTTCTATTGTCTGTCCCCAAGGAGGAGGTCACATGTAGATCCTTGTAATCAGTTCCCCCTCTGAGTTGCTTCTCTCCCAAGAACAGAAAACCCCCACCCCCACCCTGGAGGTTCCTGTCTATTCTGATCCTTTGTCCATAGTTGAGCGGACAGGGCTCAAGACAGACAGTCTACTAATTACACCAAGCGATATGGTGGTTCAAACCCACCAACTGCTCCACGGGAGAAAGATGGCGCTGGCTGCCCTGTGCTGGGCCGCTCTGGGTCAGAACCGACTTGATGGCCATGAGTTTGGGTTTGGGGAAGATTTCTAGGGGATATCTTTAGCTAAATGTTTAAAGGTGATCTCGGGGCAAGGGTTTCATCTAGCCTCCATGATTCCAGAACGTCTGGATCCTCAGAGCAACTGACAGCTTTTAAACTCCCGCCCTCTTACAGGTAGCTGACAGCTTTACCCAGTAGCTGACACGTTCCAAACATTCCCGAACACAACCAGGTTCTGAAATGAAGTGTTCAGGGGGCTATCAGGTCGGATGCCACATCCCTAAGTCTTGAACCAACAGCTCATAGTGTACTGAAGGAGATGCGGGGAGGTGGTAGTCCTTGGACTTGTGATGTCCAAGCTTCCTTTGCCCCTGGCAGAGGAGCTGAGCTCTGCTGTGTGGCCTGGTCCTGGACCAACTTCCCATGGTGCCCAGCTCTGTCCTGTGCCTGGGGCTGCACAATCAATAAAAGTGGATTAAAAGGCTCTGGAGGCTTCCGAGTGCCAGAGCCTCCCTGGTCAAGGCTGCCCCACTGCCGCTGAGTGGCTTCCCCAGTCTCCCAGGGCCCCTCCACAGACAGCAGGTGGCTCCTGAGGGGTAAAGGACCTGGGTAAGCCAAGGCCTGTGGGGTCCAGGTGGATGGGGAAGTGGCCGACGGAGGACGTTACTGTTGGGGGCAGAGACCGCGCACTGCTGTCAGGCCCTCAGCCCCACCTTCAAAGACTGCTTCCCGGAAAGTTGCTTTAACTTCACTGAAAGTGGTGTGTTTTCCCCCAAGCAGTTGAGTTTCCGGTCTTTCTCCGGAGCTGGTTTTGAATGAGAACCCAGCACCTGGACCTCGGGCCTGCAGCAGAAAGGCAGGGTCACTCAGGGGAGGGCAGGAGCCCAGAGTTGGGAGTTGGCTGCAGTTTACCCCAAAAAGACCCACCCGGGAACCAGACATTGAGGAGGCAAGGCGCTTCGAGAGGCCCCCCGATGGGTCCTGACTTAGGATGTCACCCCTAGGCACAGTCTCAGTGCATGCTCTGAGCCCAGTCTTGCCCCTGACGGGGCATCCAGCCATCCCTTCCCATTAGCCTGATACAGTGGCTGGCTCCAACTTTTGCCATCTATTTTCGGATGTAAAATGATCGGTTTGGCAGGGTTCATAAGGAAATGGCCTTGAGCACTCAGTGCGGCCGGGGCCACCGTAGATTGAATGAGCCCTTTCCCCCCACTGGCGGGGGGCCAGCAGCTCGCAGGCTTCTCGCCGCTACCTGGAGCTCGGCCCAGTGGGGACGGTGCCCCTGCGCCTGAGCCGGATCGGCTGGCGCTGGGGGGAGCCTGCTCGGCCCTGAGTCCTCCGGGGAGCAGGGGGGCAGAGCTGAGCGGCCGCCGGCGCTGGGCGGGAGCAGGGGACGGCGAGGGGGCGGGGGGAGATCCGGCTGGAGGGGAGGCTCCGACGTCCCCTTCCTTCCTGGTTCCTGCAGCAGCAGCTGCCACTGCTCCGCTCAGCCCCGCGCCGAGGGAGCCTGCGAGGCGGAGACGTGACTCAGGTGGAGCGGCGCGCGGGCCAAGGAGCTCCGGCGTCCATGGCGCCTGGGGTAAGGGGCCGCGCGCCCGCCCAGCTGACAGCGCCCCTGAAGCCCGAGCCCCGGGGTGGTGGGGAATGGAGCGGGGAGGACTGCTCACCTGCCGCCTGGACCCCCACCCCTCCCGACACATCCTCCACCTCCACCCGCAAACAGTGAGGGGTCAGGCTTGCCACGGGGAGGGGGGCCCAGAGCCAGGCCACTCCCAGAGCCAGGCCACAGAAATACCCCAACACCCCAAGAGTTTGGGAACTTTGCAGGACTGAGGGCAGGGGGTTCACCACCACCCCCTGGGCCAGCCTCCGCTCCCACCCACCTCCCAGCTTTCCTTTCTCCACCGAGTCCCTGTCCCTGGCCGGCCGACCCCTGCTCCTCAGGTGCTGGTTCTCGAAGGTGACCTGAGTCACTGCCCCCATCCTCGCAGCCTCACCCTTCCAGTCCCCTCCCCACCAGGACACACACACACACACACACACACACACACACACACACACCACTTCTTGCATTATTGATGGTCTCGGAGCCGGGTATGGCCGGGGCTGGTGCCAGGGCCGCAGGCACTGCTGTGGGACCTGTGTGGACCTGGCATGCTGAGGGCCACCTCCTTTCCTGTCCCCTCCCTACCCCCCTGCACACCCTGTCTCCACCAGCTCAGTCCCCATGCTCGCTGGGTGTACAGTACTATAGTAGCCCCTTGGGGCCTGACTAGTGGGACAGGGATGACAAGGCTTTGGGGCACAAGGGGGCCCTGGTGGGAATTCAGGGGGAGGACTGGTGGAAGGAGACACAGGAAAAGGTGGGGGCTGACTCAGGCCTCAGTGTCCACTGCAGAAAATTGGAGCCCAAGAACTAAGGGGATATGGGGATCAACTGGTAGGGCTGGGGAGTGAGGAATTTGGGGGGACTTTGCTTTTGCACCTCCAGGCTGTGGTGGGGGCTAGGAGCGGCCTGAGGGTCAGGCGGTGGGCTGAGAGCTTGATCCCGTCTCTGGCCCCCTTGTCTCTGGCCCCCTCGGCCCTTCCTTGGTGTCCTGTCCTTCCCTTCGCTCCCCTGCCTCACCTCTGAAGGCCTCCAGAGCCCTTCCAAGAAGGCGCTGGTGTTTCCCAGAGCCCCGCAGTGTGCCCAAGGCGGGGCTCTGTGAACTTTCTGCACCTTTCTGGGCACCAGCCTGCCAGCTGCATTCAGTTCACCTCCAGCAGGGGCGTGGGGGCCAGGAGACCCACCCGGGGCTCAGATGAGCTGATATTCTTACTCCAGAGGGTGCCCAAGGGGCTTGGGGGTGGGGGAGGCTGCAGGTGACAGGTGATCTGAGCTAACAGGACCTCTCTTTTCCTTCCAGGGCCCCTTCAGGACAAGGTGACTCACCCTGCCCTCTGTCCCCAGCAGGGAGTGGCTGCTCCCTTCTCCATGGACTGCCAGGAGAGGGAGAGGGACCCGCCCTCCCTGACGGAGAGCACTCAGTCTTCAAAGCCCAGCAGTGCCCAGCAGGTCTGGGAATGGGAGAGCAGGCAGTGGGGTGGTGGGTGGGGGATGGTGGGGGTGGGAGGGGCTGGCCTGAGCTGGTCCCAAAGGGAGGGGACTGACATGGTGGCCTTACTAGCTGCTCCCCACCCTCCCTGTGCCGATCTGCAGGCCTCGGAGCTGTGGGAGGTGGTGGAGGAGCCCCGGGGCCGGCTGGAGGCAGGAGGTATCATGGCAGAGAGGCAGGAAGGCCACCTGCTTAAGAAGAGGAAGTGGCCTCTGAAGGGCTGGCACAAGGTAGGGTGGGCAGGGCGAGGGGCGGAGCCTGGGTGGGGGTGGGCTGGGGCTGGAGGGGGAGGCTGTGGGCCATCCCGGGCGTTTGCTTGTTGCAGCAGCAAAGTGTGTGTTGTGGTTGCTCTCTCTGCCCCCACCCTACCCCACCCCCACCCCCACCCTTCCCTCTCCGCCTCCTGGGCGATGCCACAGAGGTACTTTGTGCTCGAGGACGGGATCCTGCACTATGCAACCACCCGGCAAGATGTGAGTTGGGCCTCTGCTCAGGGCAGAGGGAGGAGCGGCCCCAGAATGTCCCAGGCAGCCAGAGGACAGTGGGGGGCAGAGAGCAGGGTCTGAATCCTAGCTACACCGTTTGCTGGAAGTGGGCCTGGGTTTCCTCGCCTCTGAGACTGCAGTGTGTAGGGCTGTTGGCATGTGAAGGGCAGGATACCCTTGAGGCCCTCTGGACGGAGGTTGGCACCGACACGAAATGGGAGCTCTCGTGGGGCTTGTCTACGGCCCTGGGCCCTGTTGGGAACAAGGGAGTGTGGCCGAGAGAAGAGAAGCTCAGCCTTGCAGGTTCCTAGGCGTGGGGGTGATTCTCCACAGAGCTCAGAGTGGGACTTGACACAGCAGGGTGTTCTGTCCACAGTAGGGTGACTGACAAGTTCCTACTAATACTGTGACTTGGGACTGCTGCTTCAGGGAGATGAGGGTGGAGGGGCTCCTGGCCCTGAGAGCCTAAAGCCAACCCCCTCTCCCCTCACCAACTCGCACCCCAGATCGCCAAGGGGAAGCCCCATGGCTCCATTGATGTGCGCCTGTCTGTCATGTCCATCAACAAGAAGGCCCAGCGCATTGACTTGGATACGGAAGACAACATCTACCACCTCAAGGTGACATCCTGTGAGCCAGGGAGAGTGACTTGGCCCCTGGCCTGGCAGAGGAACTGGGGCACACAAGAGAGGGGCTGGGGCTCGGGGCGGGTGTCGTCATCTGTGGGCCCCGTTAGACAAAAAGGATGCTCTACTGTGTAAAACAGTCCCTGGCAGATGCACCTGCCGCTGCTTGTTATGTGAGCAGGCACAGAGCTCTGGGGGCGCAGGCTCCAGGGGAGCTGGGCTTGGCCTTCCCGTCGGGGCTTGCACAAGCTACGGGCTTTGGGGAGAGGCTCTGCCTACCTGGGAACCAGGGCCCCCACTTCTTGCCCCTGGAAAGCAGTCCTTCCTTCTACCTCCCCCAGCCCCATCTCTTCTCTCCTGCAGATCAAATCCCAGGACCTGTTCCAGAGCTGGGTAGCCCAACTGCGTGCCCACCGCCTGGCCCAGCGCCTGGACATGCTCCGTGGCCCACTGCCCAACACCGCTCATCAGAAGGTCAGAGGGGCCCAGGAGTGGGGCCAGGTGAAGTGGTGATTGGAGTGGGGACTGGGGCAACTGGGAGGCCCAGCGAGGCTGACACTGACCTTCCTGACCATCCCCTCACCCCATAGGTTGCAGGTGCTCAGCTTCCAACTGTGGGTAGCACGGCGGCCCTCCCTGGAGTGGGCCCCCGGGAGAAGGTGTCCTCCTGGCTCAGGGACAGTGACGGCCTAGACCGCTGCTCCCATGGTGAGGGCTGGCCCCGGGCCCCGTGGGCCACGCTGTTGGGTCTTGGTGCATCAGTGTTCATAGAAGGGTTGCCCGGTCACCTCTGTCCCTGCCTTGGGGAGCCCCTGTCTGGTAACAGAAGCACATACAGCCTCTCCTGCTCTGAGCTGCTCCTGAGGCTGCCTCAGCTGGCAGACAGCCCGGACACAGGATGCCAATGCAGGGGTTGGGGAGGGTCCAGAGGAGTGGAGCTAGGGAGTCGCAGGTCCCCCCAGGGTGAAGGTAGCAGAGGTGAGGTCTGGGGCCTGAGGGAGATTTGGGTACAGACCCTCCTGGGAAGCCAGGCGAGGGGCGGGCATTCGTTAAGGGGTCTGGCTTCCTGAGCAAGGGCGGGGAAGTCTCTGCTGGGATTTCTGTGGCTGCCGGTGAAGTCTTTGGCGGAAGGGGGGCCCTGCCGGTGGTGGGACAGGGACTTCCTCCTGCCCTCTCTGCCCAGAGCTCTCGGAGTGTCAGGGGAAGCTGCAGGAGCTACACAGACTCCTCCAGAGCCTGGAGTCCCTGCACCGGATCCCCTCCGCCCCGGTGATCCCCACGCACCAGGCAAGGCCCGGGGCTCCCCCATCTGCTGCCCTCACTCCCTGTTGCTCGCCTGGGATGGCCTCATCCACTCGATCACGGCAGGTTGCTGAGAGCCTCCACCTGCCTCATGGCTCTGAGCCCCTTGTCCACACTCCCCCTCAGAGCCTTCCTCCCTCCTGTTCCTAGGATCTGCCACCCTGTTGGTCTTCCTTGTCCCCCACCCCTGGCCTGGGCTGCCCTCCCCCTTTGCCTCTCCCCCAGGCCCCACGGGTATGGCCCCCTACCCAGTTAAAGCCCCGCCTTGACTGCCAGGCGTCCGTGACGACGGAGAGACCCAAGAAGGGGAAACGGAGCAGCCGCATGTGGTGCACACAGAGCTTCGCCAAGGATGACACCATTGGACGGGTGAGGGGGGCCGGTGCCCTTGATCCCTGTGGGTGGGCCGCTCTGAAGGAGGGTGCCCCCCGCTAACTCCCCTTCCCCGACAGGTGGGTCGTCTCCATGGCTCTGTTCCGAACCTGTCTCGCTACCTGGAGTCCCGAGACCCCTCGGGCCCCCGAGGGCTGCCACCCCCGGACTATGCCCATCTGCAGCGCAGTTTCTGGGCCCTAGCCCAGAAGGGTGAGTGCGTGCCTGCTGGAGGGGGCAAGGTCAGGCAGGAGGGAGAGACGGGGAGTCTGATGGCCGGCCCTGTCCCCCCACAGTGCACAGCTCCCTCAGCAGTGTACTGGCCGCCCTCGCCGCTGAACGGGACCATCTGAGGGACCTGCCCCCGGGCTTGGAGCTCTCAAGGCTGGGGGTGAGGCTGGGGTACCAGGGAGGCGGTGGGGGCAGGGGCTGGAGGCTCCATTCTGCAAGCCCGGGGGCTGAACGCAGACCTGGCCCCCAACAAGGAGACCCGGCAGGGCATTCTGCACAGGTGAGCAGGCTTCACCCTTCCCAGCACCCTGTCCCCTCACCTGTCCCTGCAGATCTCTGAGGTCCCAGCTGGCCAGAGGCGCCTCCACTCACTGTCCATCTCCTCAGACACCACCGCGGACTCCTTCAGCTCCCTCAACCCCGAGGAGGTGAGAGGCGGTGGGCTGCAGGTCTCGGCCGTTTCTCCGCGGGGTGGTGGGGTGTGCGTGGCAAGCTTGGCTCAGCGGGCTTTGATAATTCAGTCTCACGTGGAAGTTGGGGAAGAGATGAGGCTTTTGAGCCCTGTAAAGAGTTACTGTTTCGGAAACCCAAAGGGGCAGCTCTGCCCTGTCCTCTGGAGTCCCCAGGAGTCGACACTGACTCCTTGGCTGAGAGAGATACGCAGATAATCCCAGGCTTCGGTTGGTAAGAAATTCAACTCCAGTCATTCACAGTGTTAAGTCAGGGCAGTGTTCTCCAGTCAAGGGTTGTCAACACGGACCCCGGGGCTGCCCTGGTGACCCTGAGCCTCAGACCTCAGACCTCCTCTGCAAGCCGGCATGGTGGGGGTGACAGCCTCCCCCCGGCCCCGTCGCCTGTTCGTGACGATGAATGCATTCATGTACATGAAGGGCTCGGGTGGGCTGCTATGAAGTTCTCAGGCAGTGCCAGTGGATACGGGACCTGGGTCCCTTCAGTCCCAGGCCCTCAGCCCCTCGCCCCTCGGCTCCCCCGCCTCTCCCTCCTGCTCACAGGCAGATGTGCCCCTCAGACTGTGAAAGTGTCCCCCCCCCTCCCCTGTGTGCTTCCTGACTCCTGACGCAGCGTCTGGGGCCTCACAGCCGTCTGGTTCCCACAGCAAGAAGCTCTGTACATGAAGGGGCGGGAACTGACCCCCCAGCTGTCACAGAGCAGCGTCCTGTCCCTGGCCGATTCCCACACGGAGTTCTTCGATGCCTGCGAGGTCCTCCTCTCGGCCAGCTCTTCGGAGAACGAGGTGAGGGAGACCCCTGGGAATATGGAGCGAGGGTCCAGAGAGACCAGAATCATCGATGGGTTCCTGAGTCCTTTCTGTCCGTATCAGCTGCCATCCCTGGGGCCCTGCTCAGAGATCTCCCAGCTTGACAGACTTTGTCCCCAGGGGGTTCTCCAGTCCCGGCTGCCTGGACCCCACCCCAGTCATCCTCCTGTGACTGGTTTCTACTTCACCACTCCCCTGATCCCACTCCCCAAACCCCGAGTCCCGTCGTCTGTCACCTGTCGAGTCCCCCCAGTTAGAGTGCCAGGTCTTCCCCCTCACAAGGTCTCGCTCCGTGATGCCAGCCTCCCCTGGTGCCTCAGGCCTCAGACCCCCCCACCCCCAATACATTCTCTTCCCCTCCCTACCAAAGGGCTAGCCGGGCAGATTCTTGCCAGGCCCTGGGCACTGCCCAGCTGCCCGGGGGGCACACTCTGCCCGGCCTGTCATCTGTCCTGACCCAGGGCTCTGAGGAGGAGGAGTCGTGTACCAGTGAAATCACCAGCCTGTCCGAGGAGCTGCTGGACCTCAGGGGGGCCGAGCGCTGTCAGAAAGGTGCCAGCCAGGCGGGGACAGAGGGCTGGAGGTGGCGGGAAAGGGGCTGTCATCCAGGGCCCAGGCTTTGGAGGGGAGGGAGTCCTCGTGGGCTTGGGTGCTGACTGACCCCGCAGATGACCCAGGAAGGAAGGAAGGAAGGAAGATGAAGGTGTGAGCTGCAGGTCAGGGTCAGGTTGAAGGCCCCCTTGCCCTCTTTCTAACTGCCTGGCTTTGGATGAGCCATTTGACACTGGCGTCTGCTTCCTATCTGTAAAACGGGCCGTTTTTGTCTGTGTCCCATAGCCTGTGTCTGTTTGCAGAAGGGTATAGAAGGCCCCGGTGGGGACTTGGGAACAGCTCCTGGGGCATGGGAGTCCGGCGGTGGGGACTGTCCTCTCAGGTCCCAGGGGGGCTGGTCCAGCAGGTTGGATGTCTGCAGGGCTGGAGGACTGGAAGTGACAGGCTGGGCTGGGCCCCAGGGGGCTGTGTTTCAGGAAGAGCTGTGGGGCCGCCCCGTCGCCGCTGCCTGCCTGCAGCCAGTGGGCCCGGGACCGAGGTCAGCCTGTGGAACATCCTGCGTAACAACATCGGCAAAGACCTGTCCAAGGTCTCCATGCCCGTGCAGCTCAACGAGCCGCTCAACACCCTGCAGCGGCTCTGCGAGGAGCTGGAGTACAGCAGCCTCCTGGACCAGGCCAGCCGCACTGCCGACCCCTGCGAGCGCATGGTACCCGCCAGCCCCCTGCCCCCAGGAAAGCCTAGCAGGGCTGGCCCTTGCCCCTGGAGCGCCCCAGTTCCAGCAATGCCCCTCCCCTGGGCATGCCCCCTGCTCAGCGGCCTTCTCCCTGCAGGTGTATGTCGCAGCCTTTGCCGTCTCTGCCTATTCTTCCACGTACCACCGAGCAGGCTGCAAGCCCTTCAACCCCGTCCTGGGGGAGACCTACGAGTGTGAGCGGCCTGACCGGGGCTTCCGCTTCATCAGCGAGCAGGTGTGAGCCCCGGGGTGCTAGGTGCTGGGCAGGGAGGGACCTGGCCTTCAGGGAGGAGCAGCTGGGTGGGGTGGGGGTGGGGCAGAGGGCCTAGGGCAAGGAGGAAGGAGCATGGGGCAGCCTGGGGATGACATTGAAAGGAAGAACTGAGGGGCTAGAGGTGGGGTCGTGGGAACCCGAGGTTATTTGTCTGCCCCCCCCCCCCCCGGAAACCCTGCTCTGGGGGCCAGGTCTCAGCCGAGTCTTGCAGGAACAGCAGGAGTTGGCTGGGGGTGGGAGAACGCGATGCCCCAGCCTGGAGAGGAGGGAACTGGTCTGGGAGGAGGCTGAGGGTCCTGGTGAGGACGAGTTGGTTCTGTGTTGTTGTTTCTCCTGAAGGCCAGGGGGAGTCACTAGAGAGACTGCCCAGAATGGTATTTCATGGGAAGCCCTCGGCAGTGTGTGGGGGTGCCCAGAGAGGCCATTAAGAGCCATTTATGTCTGTCGGAGCAAGAGCAGCGAGGGACTGCACTTAGGTTGGGCCTCAGGCCTGGGCGGACTTGGACTCAGGAGATACTGGTCTGTGGTGCACAGGATGTACCTGGCCAACTAGAAGCAGCAGCCCTGTGGCCTCAGATTTCTGGTGGGTGACTGGTGCCAGTGCCATTTAGTGAGGCTGAGGGTATATGAAGGTGGCATTATTTGGGAGGCATGCAGCCTGGCGTTTGGGTTGACTTCCAAGACCTGTGGGGGAGGTGGGCAGGGGGGACAGGTGGTGCTGGTGCTGGAGCGGGGGGCACTGGGTGGAGCTAACCTGTGAGTGGTAGGAGAGGGGGCCCCAAGTTTGGGTAGTGGGCGGAGTCATAGACTCCTCCTTCACAGGGGAGTGGCTGTGGAGGAAGGCAGATGGAAGGTGGACATGACTTTCCTGTTTAGACTTTAAATGCGTTTGAAAACAGGGAGAACGGCCCAGTCCGCCTGAATCCAGTCAGGCGTGCATACAATCGCAACGAAGTCCGCGTGCCTCCCACCCACTGCTCCTGCAGGACTGAGGCCACCCACTTTTGTGGCTCCTCCCCGAAGTACTTATGCATATGCAGATCCAGCGGACCTGGTGGGAAGGGGAGGCTCAGGAACAGGAAACACTTGTATTCTGGGGGCAGCACCTAATGGTCCAGAGAGAGTGGGAGGGAGGAGGGAGGGACTTCTGCAGGGGAGGAAGTGGGTGGGGGGCACCTGACCCTGACTCCGAAGCAGAAAAAGATGTGGAAAAGATGGTGTGGGAGGCCGGAGGGGAAGGCTTGCATCCTTATTTCTGTTTTCCTGTGGTTGAAGGGGGTGTGGTTTGAAGGGAGTGGGCGGGGCCTGTGGTAGGTAGGAAAGATTTGAAGCTTGGCGGGGTTGCCAGGGTCAGAGTTGGGGGAGGCAAGGAATTCAGAGAGAGGCAGGGCAGGGCAGGGCAGGCTGTGGGATGTTGGAGTTGAAATTCCAGGTGCGGTGGCGTTCTGAGGACAGCCAAGTTTCACAGGTGTGGGATGAAGGCGATGGCGAGGGGAGGGTGGCTTGCAGGCAGGGGGTTGGGGCAGGTTCAGGAGGGAGGAGAATGAGTGAGAAGGGGCAGCCTGGTGGGGACCAGGATGACTAGTGGGTGGGATCAGGGTGGTGGCCAAAGATGGCACGTGGGAGAGCTGGTGTGCCAGGAAACGGAGGCAAGAATAAAGGTTCGAGGGGGTCCTGGTGGTCTGGGGGCAGAGTTCAAGGTCCTCAGAGAAGGTCTCAAGAGAACGTGTTCTCTGTGCACCAAGGTCTCCCACCACCCGCCTATCTCGGCATGCCACGCAGAGTCGGAGAACTTCATCTTCTGGCAAGGTGACGGAGGTGGGGCCAAGCCAGGTGCAGGGCAGGTGGGGAGGGGCTGGAACACCCTCCGCCCTCATCGCTGCTCTTTGCCCTCCCTTCCCTAACCCCAATTCCAGACATGAAGTGGAAGAACAAGTTCTGGGGCAAATCCCTGGAGATTGTGCCAGTGGGGACCGTCAATGTCAGCCTGCCCAGGTGTGTGTCCTGAGGCTCAGCCACAAGTGATGGGCCCCGTGCCCGGTGGGTGGTAGGGACAGAGGGGAGGCCTGGCTGCAGCTGACTGGGGCGGAGGCAGGGTCTGCACACCCCTGCCCTCAAGCTGCTCCCCAAGGGTTTCCAGGGCTGTGACCTTGAGGAAGAAGTATGCCTGACCTTTGTTCCAAGGCACCCCTGGGAGGGTTTGAACCACCAACCTTTCGGTTAGTAGCCCAGTGCTAACCATTTGCACTATCCCGGGAGTCCTGTATGCACAGCGAGTGCCAATGAAGAAAGGTGAATTGCTTAGAACAGTCGAGCTGGAAGGGCCCCAAGAGGTCATTGGATTTAGTGGCTTTAACACTTTTTTGAACCATGACTCACAGTAAGATGTGAATTTGATACTTTAAGCCAGTGTGTGTGTGTGCGCGCACGCGCGCATACACACCTAAATTGATTTCAGGACTAATGGGTCACAAACCACATCTGAAACCATCTAGCTCATTTTCCAGGCTAGGGAGGCATCGGAGACGAGGGGTAAGCCAGAGAGGGAACCAGGGCTTAAGCATCGGGGTTCCAGGAGTTAGCTGGAAGTCAGTATAAGGGGTAGGAAAGGAATCGGAGTCAGAAGTCTTGGGTGAGAGTCTTGGTTCTGTCACTTAAATGGCTAAGCCAGACCAAAATCAGACCCATGCCTTAGCGTCTGCTCATTAGAATAGGTGGTGGTGGTGGTGGTGGTGGTGGAGGTAGAGGCGGTGGTGAGGAAGAGGAGAAGCTGTCATGTCGGTTCTGACTCACAGGGACCTCGCACAACAGAAGAGAACATGGCCCGGTCCAGCAGCACCCTCCCAAGTGCTGTTGCCTTTGAGCCCATAGCTGCAGCCACTGTGTCAGTCCCGAAGCAGTGATTCCCCAGTCGTAGTGCCAGTGTCCACTAACCGGAGGGGCTCCCCTCCCGGCCCTGTATCAGGCCGCATTCCACGGCTGTTCATGAGGTTTTCAGTGGCTGGTTTTAAGGAGTGGTCCTCTTATCCTTCTTCCTAGTCTGTCTTAGTCTGGAAGTGACACTGAAACCGGTCGCCATAGGTGACCCCGCTGGTAGTTCAAATACCAGTGGCACAGCTTCTAGCATCACAACAATACACAAACCACCACCGTATGACCAACTGGCGGAGAAGTGGCGGATAAAGTAGGAATAACAGATGATGCCCAATAGAAGTGAGGATTGAATTGGATATTATATATTACCGTATCTACCACGGTCCCTGGCACCCAGGGTAGGGACTATATCTAAGTTGTTATCCCCATCCCTTAGGCTCGAAAAGCTGTAAGAACGAACACAGACCAGGGCACGGCATGCATTTGGGGGAGGGGGTGCTGCTTTACACGTCAGTCCTCCTTTGTGGAGAGCCAGGGCTGTGCCGGCCTCCCAGTTCTTTTCCCAGCCCCGTGGGGCTTGTTCCAGCTAGATAGGTGCTCCCTGACTCGGGTGGTAGCGGGTTCCCAGGGCGGCCGGCTGCCCTCCATACCCGTCTCTCCCAGGTTTGGGGACCACTTTGAGTGGAACAAGGTGACGTCCTGCATCCACAACATCCTGAGTGGCCAGCGCTGGATTGAGCACTACGGCGAGGTGCTAATCAGGAACACCCGGGACAGCTCCTGCCACTGCAAGATCACCTTCTGCAAGGTGGGCCCGCCTCCCGGACCAGCCCCCAGCTCCCTCTGCTCCGGAGGTCAGCCTGGGCATGGGTCTCACCTCACACCCCCACTCCCACCCAGGCGAAGTACTGGAGCTCCAACATCCACGAGGTGCAGGGTGCCGTGTTCAGCCGGAGCGGCCGCGTCCTCCACCGGCTCTTGGGGAAGTGGCACGAAGGCCTGTACCGGGGACCCCCACCAGGCGGCCAGTGCATATGGAAGCCCAGTACGTGGGAGCAGCAGCAGCGGCTGTGGGGGGAGGGGGCTCAAGGGAGGGCAGCGTTGCATCGTGCACCTGCCCCAGCCCTTGCCTTCCCTCCAGACGCCATGCCCCCAGACCACGAGCGCAACTTCGGCTTCACTCAGTTTGCCCTGGAGCTGAACGAGCTGACGGCGGAGCTGAAGCGTTCCCTGCCCTCCACTGACACGCGGCTCCGGCCAGACCAGAGGTCAGCACCCCGCAGAAGCCACGCCAGGGCCACTGCACTCCCTCCCTCCCTCGCCCCAAGGAGCTGGGACAAGGCCTTTTCCCCTCCCATAAGGCACCTGGGGGTGGAGGAGGCCTGGGGAGGGGGCAAGCTGGGCCAGAGACAGAGACCTTGGCTTTGGGGGCCTGTGAGGGAGGGCGGTTCTGCCAACGGCCCTCGGACCCCCAGGTACCTGGAGGAGGGGAACATCCAGGCTGCTGAAGCGCAGAAGCGAAGGATCGAGCAGCTCCAGCGGGACAGGCGCAAGGTGATGGAGGAGAACAACATCGTGCACCAGGCGCGCTTCTTCAGGTGCACACCCCACCCCACCCCTGACCTTCCCCAGCAGCCAGGCGCCCTGCCTTCTCCCCTGGACAACCTGTGTGGAGTGGGAGGCAGCCCCTGGGATCCCGAGACTCAACTCCTCCTGTCTCCCTCAGGCGGCAGGTGGACAGCAGTGGGAAGGAGTGGTGGGTCACCAACAACTCCTACTGGAGCCTAAGGGCCGAGCCGGGCTATGGGAACCTGGATGGGGCTGTGCTCTGGTAGCCCCGGCCCCGGGGGCAGGAGGCCCCGTGCTACCCTCCTGCCTCCACCCTGCACCACGGACACTTGGGGAAGGCCAAGCTCCCCGCCCACCTCCCACCCCTCTGCTGGCTGGAGGGGCTACATCTCAGCCCAGTCCCCCACCCTCCCCCTCGGACCAGGGGCCAGGCAGGATGTGTGCTGCCCCAACTGCCCTGGCCATCTGGCATGCCGGACCCTTTGTGCGTGCTCTTCTGCTCCCTGCCTGTCCCCCTTGGGGTGCCTGGGAGAGATGCCAGGCTTCCAGGGTCTGGTCCCCATTTCAGTGCCTTCCTAGGCCACGGGGACCCCTTGTTGCTCCTCAGGCTGTGAGGTTGGCATGCTGGGAATGAGAGGAGCTGGCCTTTTCTCCCACCCCTGCCCCTGCCATCTTCCTGAACCCCTCTCCTCAAGGAGTGGCAAGCTGCCTGCAGGTTCCAGCTCCCGACCCTCAAGGGGCAGCCTTCAGCCTCAGCTCCGAGTGACCGAGGGGGGCCTCTTCAAGAGTGGGGAGCAGACGGCAGGCAGGGCGCCTGGCTCCGCCTACCAAGAGAGAGTGAACTGTGTGTGTGTGTGTACGCATGCACGCACGTGTGCGTGCCCCCTCCCAGCTCCTGCTCGCGGGCGAGCAGGGGTCCCTCATCTGACCGGCACGCCCTGCCTGATGTCCCCCATTGCTGCTCGCGTTCTCATAGTCTGACTCAGATGAAGGTGAATTGCTCGGACATTCCAAGCTCTAATAAAGACTGTCCCAGACTTAGGCCTGTGTCCATTCACCTGAGCTAGAACCGCCCCCCCCCCCTTGCTCCCCTCTCCCTCCATCCCACATCCTCATCCTGTCACTTCTGCCTCACCTGTCTCTCAGCTCGGGCCCTTATCACCACGCCGGCCTCAGTCCAGGCCCTTAGCAACCCTTGCCTGCCACCCTTGCCTGGATCAACCCTTACCCGATTGTTGCAGCGGCTTCCCAGACAGCCGCCAGTCAATGCTGGCTTTTAGGGTGCTATTCTGAAGGCAAACATACGACAGCCCACGCCTGTCTGGGATTCCACTCATTTCTTTCCAGCGCCTACAGGAAGCCTCCACACTTCAGCCAGGCAGACTGCACGCTGCATGGTCCATGTCCCCCTGGACAGTGTCCACCCACCATTGTCCATCAGGTCTCTGCTCACCGCCCCCTCATTGAGAGTCAGGGAAGAGTTGGGGAGGGACCAAAAGGAGACAGGACCAGTGGCAGCCTCTCACACCCACCTTCCCTCAACACCTCACACACCCAACTCCAAACTCAGGGCCACTGAGCTGACCTGACTCGGAGCAAGCTCAGAGGACAGAGTGGAATTGCCCCTTGGGTTTCCCAGATGGCAACATTTTTTCCCAGCTGACGGCCTCATCCTCCACGGAGCGGCTGGTGGGCTCAAACCTCTGATGTTTCCATCAGCAGCTCCACACATAGCCCACTACTCCATCAGGGCTCCTTCCCCAGCACAGACGGAGTGCCAACCCCAGCTCTTCTGCCGGGGGATGACCGTGGTCAAGTGGTCTGGCCTCCCTGCCCCTGGACTTCCCGCCCTTGCCTGGCTTCTCATGCTGCTGCGGTGCCAAGGTGTGTGAGGGGTACCCCCAGGCCCTGCCCTGGTGTGCTGGGCAGGAAGTCATGTTTTCTCTGTGAAGTGGGTGGCAAGAGCCTGCCTTCCAACCTGCGTCTTTCCCTCCCGCCCTCCCCCAGCCCCTGGGGAAGGGCGGGGGTCTACATTTGCAGTTTATTTATGGAGAGTGTTAGGGTGAAAATTCGCACACTTGTCTTGACACCACCTATCAGAAATAACTTCTCCCCTGTCTCAAAAAAACCAGAGGCTGCACATACTCAAGATCTGTGAAAGATGTGTCCCACCAACCCCCGTGCCACCGTTCCGCTCTGCTCAGACACCCCGGAACCCGGCTAGTCAGTCCTCTTGAGGAGACCCTCTGGTTCCAGCAGAGGGCTTAGGCTGTCCTATGAGGTCCCCTGGGACATGTGTCCCAGGGGACCTCATAGGACAGCCTGGGCTGGACATGGCTACCCAATGGCCAGTTCCTGGCCGAGACACTGAGGGAGCACAGCTGGCCTAAAAGAAGCAGATGAATCCATCCTGGTTCTTGCCACGCCTGCAGCTTCTCTCTCCTGACCCTAAAGGATTGCTTAGGACTCCGGGGGTGGGGGTGGACGGAGCCCTGTCCAATTACAGAATCCCCACCCCACCATCCTCAGACCCAAGAGGAACCTGGTGGAAGTGGCCAGAGCGTGGGCCCCTGGCCCCAAGCTGCCTTTAGCACATACTCCTGAGCGCTGGTAGCAGGAGCACCGATGTAAATCAACTTCTGGGTCCCCAGGCCAGCAGGGCCAGGGGCCCCATGCACTCCAGTGTGGCGCTCACTCACGACCATCATGACAATTCCAACCCTTTAGCACCATATAGGACAAAGTAGAACTCCCTGGCCAGTGGCTTCTGAGACTGTACTTTATAGGAATAGACAGCCTCGCCTGTCTCTGGAGGAGTGGTTGGTGGGTTTGAACTGTTGACCATGTTCACTATGTCGAAGTCCACATAGTGGGCACAGGAGTCCACTGTGTCACCAGGGCTCCTGGAGGGGTTGGGGCCTCAGTCTCCCTCTCTGCACACACAAATGGTTATCCTCGCAGTCGGGACATGGGATTAGAACCCTAGGCTTCACCCCACCAGGCCACAAGCACCCCAATCTTGGACAGGGCACCCAATAGCCTCAAACTCTCACCTTCCACCTCAACAGCTGTGGGACATGTCCTGGGAGTGGTCCACTGGAAGAGCGTGTCCTGACTGCAGGGAAAGGAGCCCTGGCCATGCTGTCCGGAAGCAAGCGTTTAGCTGCTGACCACCGGCGGCTCCTCCAGCTCTCTCAATGCGAGAAAGATGAAGCTCTCTGCTCAGGAAGATTTACAGCCTCATGAGCCTCCGGCTCATAGCCAGAATGCACTTGCTGCTAGCGGGTTTGGTTTGGACTGAGGAGAGGCTGACCCAGGAGCAACAAGCTACAAGGAGGGGGGCGGGGGCGGGCAGAGTCAGAGATATTTGGAGGCAGATATACCTTGGGACTCCACAGCATGAAGAGCAGTCCCGGGCGGGAGTGGGGTGCCTACGTATACAGGTACATATGAGAGGACTTCGAAAAGTTCATGGGGACATGGAATTGAAAGAATGACAAAGAACTTTCCCACCCCCTTTTGAGGTCTCCTTGCATAGACATCGATAGACATGTATGCAGCTAACTCACAAGTGCTGTTCAAATGCATAGGTAACCAGAGAAGGATGCACCAGGGACAACCAGTGTCGAGGGCCCTCACATGCCTCAACCCAGCCCTGGCACTGAAAGTGCCATGCCCTGCCTGCCACAAGAACTGCCAAGGGAAAGAATCATCGTGAGTGCCCCATAGATAAGCTCCTTCAACAAGCTCTGGTACATCCATAATACAGAACAGCACGCATCCATAACAAACAAGACCATGATAACGCTCTTAAACACCAGCTAGAGAAGATCGTGTTTAGCAAACTCCGTCCATCTTACAAAGATAAATAGTGAATACCACCATTGTGATAAGAAAAAACAGAGGAAATGCTGTTTCCATGCCAATAGACAAGACTTTGATAACTACAAGGAGGCCAAGGACAGGGGTGGGAACAGGGAGAGGAAGCAATGGCCGGGTGAGAGGACAGACAAAAATGGAGGGTTTAACAGGCAAAAGATAAAATGTTTCATGAAAGAAAACAAACAAACAAATAAAACCACTCTCCAGATGCCTTGGTGTTGGTCTGAGTGGCTGTATTAGTCTAGGTACTTTAGAGAAACAAATCCACAGCAACTCATGTATGAGAGTTTTATGCAAAGA